TAAATAAATAAATAAATAAATAAATAAATAATAAATAAATAAATAAAAAATAAATAAATAAATAGTAATAATAATAATAATAATAATAATAATAATAAATAAATAAATAAATAGATAAATAATAATAATAATCAGGTTCCCTGACCAAGAACTTGATAACCAAGGTTACATGGCCACGTGGGCACATCTTAAGTCCACATACTAGGAATGACCAGTTAAATGATCTTTTCCTCGACGCTCGGTAGCTACATACTCTAAGTGAATTCCCCAGGTCCGTCTTCTACATGCTCCCAAGATCGTCTCTCCCAATCTCCTCTTTCCCTTTTCCCAAGATATCAATTCTGATCGCTTATACCGGTATACTAAGACCGCATTCACAACGATGTGAGCCAGGCTTTACAAATCCTGGGACTAAATTTGGCAGACGTACATGAGAGGAAAACCGCCTAATCTTTTAATAGTCTCTCCGCCTCTCACACGCCTCCCCACACGTCGTCCCTGCGGGGTACAGTCATTAAATCTAGGCTCCGTTCGCCATGCGGAAGCTACCTGAGAAAAAGAAATGAATCGGCTCGTAGAGCAGCTATGAATCGGGATCAAAATCGTGAACCCCCCCCCCCTTCCAGTTCGATCAGGCGTAGGAAACAAGGCAAACATCAGCATCAGAACGAACTGCGCCCTCTGACGAGACTGCATACGCAAAAATTCTGCCCTCCTCCTCCTCCGTCTACTGGGGCTCCGTGAATGTCTCCGTAAATATCTCTGGTGACATTAGCTCCGTAGATAGACGATTCATTGCTGCTCTACGGGCCAATTCATTTCTTTTTCGTCTCCTTTTTGAAAGATAATAGAACAGAAGAGCTTTTTTCCTTCGATCGCCTCCATCCGCCATGCTTTCTTCACCTCGAGTTTTATTGATGAGCATGCGCACTTAATATTTCTCAGGTAGCTTGGTGGGTCAAAGCTTGTCTTATATGATATGTAAAGTATAGTCATTTTGATAGTCAACCGACAACACTTCCGTTATTTTTATGAGAAAAATGCCAATGTGATTATAAATAATAATACATGTATAAAGATGTCACCAGTAAATATTTCATTCAATCTAAGTAAACTTTTGGTTTAGTTTAACAAATCGCACCGTGCCTATATTGTTACTGGTTGATTTGTTGCCGAACTTCTTAAAGTAAGGAAGTTAAAATGGCAGTAACTGCTTGCCTCTCGTAATAGAAATGAAGTCTGGTGGAATGTGTCAGCTGGTTTTATCACAGTGGCGGATAGTACGGTGACCCACCAAACAAAGATTCAGTGTATCAATATTATATTCTTTGTGTCTTGATTTGAGCTTCGAATGTATTATAAATATATACCTCATCTCGTTACTTGACTTTATGGGAGACTGGGGTTAAGGCTGTATTCCCAGAGCTTTTAGATCGATCTATCCCCGCGGGGAGTCTCACTAGATTACTGTCAGATAATCCGGCTTAAATGTCCGTCCCGCCTACTACAAGCTGTAAGGGGGTTATTAACTTTCGTGTCCGCCCGGCTGACAGCTATTTAGCGTGAACCCCCAGGGAGTTAGGTCGATCTAAAGTAGATCGATCTAATCTCTGGAAATGGGATCTAAGTCTGCGGTTTAGGTAACGCGAACAAGTGCGTGGTCACACTGTAAAATTGTTACGGTTGCATGATGTACAGTGCCGCCGGAATCTAACTTTACTAAAAAGCCGCATGGACTCCCAACCCTTACCCGCATGGTTCAACAACAGAGTCCGCATGACAATTACAGAGTAGGAGAATCGGCAAGTAATCCTTATCGGACATCCAAATTAGTCGATCCAACGAACATAATCTGCTCCTTCTTAATTGCCTCACGTTAGTTTCCCTTTTCGATAATTTAAAGAAATTGCTATCGACGTGAGCAAACAATAACGGATTATGTTGCATCAAGTGCAACAAAAGACTATCTAGAGTAAAGGCAGATGGAATATGAGAATAAAACACCGAGGAACAAGACGTCTTAATTTTAAAACATATATGCCATTTTTATTTAACTTTCACTTAATTCATTTTAATGAGTCACGATCAATACTTACATAGCTAAAATGAATAATTTAAAAGAGTTAATACCTAAAGTAAAAAGCAATGTTTCAAAATGTTTTCATAACATGTAGTGCTTGTTTGTTGACGCACGACCTTCCCTCTCAATTCACTTGGCAGGTGAAACGATTACACAAAAAAAAAAAAAATCAGTAATATAAACATGTTATATTTTACAGAAATGCCTAATAGCCATTTAGGAAGAGGGAAGTCCAGATAGGCAAACAATCTTTTTGACACGGGACAGTTGATTGATAATTAGGTACGACTGAATAGTTTGGGTTGAAAAATTAAGTGTCATCGCAATGTTAAAGTGTCAAGTGTTAGAGGAAATCGTGCCGAGTTATTTACAAAGATGGTAACATTTAATGGCGAAGAATGTTTATTCCCATCGTTAGATTTTATTTGGAGAAATGAATATAAAGGCAGGCGTTTGATGTAAAACTGGTGTGAACAGAAAGTTAATTATTTTAAGACGACACGTGTCACACAGCTGTAGGTGACTTGTACCACGCGACTCAAGGTTACATTGTTTATGTTAGTCTTACATTCTGGGACAAGGTAACGCTTACTGAATCGTAAATTGATGTTAGGCTGTATATATGAAATGTGACTTTTTATCTACAGGCTTGACATTTAATATGGAATATTTTCTCCAAATCATAATTCATCAGTTTTTTCCTATTTTGCTGACTGATAAATGAAAATATAGATTAAAATTGTGTTTTAAAAAATTTTGATAATCTGTGCGATGTCATTTCTGACATCAGTATATTAATTGAATTCGCCAGTGAAGCAAACAAAAATACATTGCCTGTTTTAAGTCATACTACAACCATTGAAAGCGATATTTTGGATCTCTATATTTTCCAAATTATCGTCTTTAAAAGAGTTACACGCCCCAACATGGCCCCTGATGTCAGTGTCTAGTCACAGCAATGGTCGCTGTTACGCCGGACCTCATCTTGCTGCTACCAGAGCTTTCAAGCGGCAAGGCATTCCTTAGGATAGGTTTTTAGAGTTTAATCTGGAATAAAATTCCAGGCAACGGTTTAAACTTGTCCTTTTTGGTTCAAATTTGATGTAGGACCGTTGATTCGGCGAGTAATGACCTACCCACATGTAGGCTATATGGTTCAAATATGGCGATTTTGATGACCAAGGTTGCTGCTCATTCTCTTGGTTCTGTAAGTAATCTGCTATTAAAAGTGTTCTGTGTGAACCGACAAACTCATCGTGCAATCTAAAATTGTTCCTAAGGTGTCCCCTATCAAATGATGGTCAAGCGGTTCCCAGAGTATTCCTTTATTTGATCTGGTTCAGATTTTCATCGATGGCTTCCATTAGTGTTTTGGCACCAATGCGGTATCCACTCCAAATAGTGACGTTGTGAATGACCCTAGTCACTTAAGAGGTGGCACACGCCTTGTCGTAGGCCTCTTCAGGATGTCTGTAAACTCTGTTTTGACCAGTTTAGCGGTACGGGTGAAATCTGACCTCTATAAAGAAAGCCATGCGGTTTCAGTGTTCTACCCAGAAACGGTTATGGTCCCCAATTCATTAGAGAAATAGACTACGCTGTTTTGCTGTTTACAGTGGCCTCCACAGAGGTCGCCTGATATCCTAACCTGCTGAAACCATTTTGGTGTTCGCTAAGAGCCTTGAAAAATGCGTTCTGGTGACAATTTGCCCCTCATTTAAAACGGACTGGATGGTTTTGGTTTAATTGCAGCAGCACATCCTGAAGGACAGTGAGTCCTGTACCCTGGTGGTAAGATGTCGATACATTGAGTGTGACCTCTGTGTAGGTACATCAGTTTGGGCATTACTCTATAAAACTGTGCAGACCATTCCGTTTGCCACATTAATCTGTCTGGCAATGTCTGTATTTTTCGCGCCATTCTGGCACAGCTTAACAATCTTATAAAACACTGCTTAATTCATTTTACGCACTGCAAAACCAACAGCTTGCATGCAAAATTTCAAATTCTTCGATACAGTAGTTGCTGACATATGGATACTTTTTTTACAGAACCATGCTTCATTAAAACCAAGCTTTGACCAGCCGAAAGAAGCACTAGCCAATTAAATCACTGCATACTACTCAATGCAGCAGTGCAACAGACTTGGTAGTCACTTAATTGGTAGCGACACACCTGATTTCATACTTTTCCAGTCAGATGTCTTATGTGAGATCTGAGTTTTTTTTAAAAGAACGCATTTTTACCTAGGCATACCTTTAAAACTGAAATATTCCATATTAAATGTCAAGTCTGTATATATATATATATATATATTTATCTTTTTTGGCAAAACATCTTTTGTTTTTTTTTTAAATTTTGTTATAAGAACAAATTAAAGAGCACAAACATAATTATTTGTTGCTTTATGCTACCGCGTTTATAGTCAATTTTACTGGTTTGGAAATTGGCGGGAGATGGTGATAAGTCTCTGATGTAACGTACTAAATAAGCAAGACATTTTTGAGGATATTGACGTTATTGACTACTGAAGTGTGGACTACAATCCGGTACCAACGTTTTGTTTTGATTATTTTTAAATTTTTCAATAGGATGTAGATGTTCAACTTACAAAGCCAACATTTTGCCACTTCACATATACAATCCGAACTAGGCATTTCAAGAAAATGTCTGGTACCGGAATGTAGCACTCATTGTTGTGATCAAATTAGATATCAAACACCCCATTTCCATTTTTAGATCGATCTATCCCTGTGGGGAGTCTCACTAGATTACTGTCAGCTTGGCCAGCTTAAGCGTCTGTCCCGCCTACTAAAAGCTGTGAAGGGGTAATTAACTATAGTGCCCGCTCGGCTGACTGCAATTTAGCGTGAACCCCCAGGGAGTTAGGTCGATCTACATTTTAATCCCTGGATCGATCTAAATCTCTGGAAATACACCCAAATTCGCTTTTTATCCATTTAGGAATTCCCTGTACCCAAGCTGGTAAAATACAAATGAAAATTTGTTTTTATTTCCTAAGAAACGTTAGCCGAAATTGATAAAATCCTCGTCTTTATGGTAATACTTATATCTGGTCTTCGCGTTCCCCCATAAATTTATTTCGGTGTACTGGATTTCAAATTCAACAACAGTCTGTAAATAATAAATGTACGTTTTAATGACTCTAAATTGCCAAATTAAGTTCCCTGTTTCGCAGCCGTATAATAACACAAAAACAATCATTTTGTCAAAATGCTGCTACTGATTAGTAAAATTTAAATCAAGATTACTCCCATTTCAAAATTACTTGCATTTGTGGGCTTCAAACCTAAAAAATTTTGTATCCATTAAAAACCCAGATGAAGAGAAATATAAACTTAAATATTCAACCTTATTTGAATTTACAATATTTGTATAGTTTTCTACAGTTTTCTTTTTGATTTAGAAGAGTATTAAGAGAAAAAAAATGCAATGCATAAGATATTGAGTGCTTAGCCGGTTGATTTGATTTTCATTTAAAATGCTCATCATGAAAGTAAGCTCAGTCCGTCTTGTGCATGTACAGTTTAAAGGTGAATGTGGTTCAATTTATTTCGATACATTCCAGATGTAACATTACCTGATATTAGGGATCGGAACTTCACAAAAAATGGTTCTCTTTCAAATGCGTCACTGCCGTCATCTGGTCCGTCGTCGTACTGGTAAGACCCAAGTGCGGCAGCAGATTCATTTCTGAAAAATTAACCACGAATATGTGTTGTTCTTTCATTCTGTGTTTCTCACTTATTCCCTTAAAGATTAGTAACACCAGAAATATCGATGACTTAAATTTGCCAGACACAAAAAAGATATAAATATAAATACACACAGCCAATTTCTCCTAAATAATAAACGGTCCCTTGATGTACATTCCCCGCCCCCCCCCTTGATGACCCCTCCCATAGACATCAACTGATCTTGACGTCATATATTCGAAGAGAAAAAATTTATTAAGAAAGTCTCATTTGGAAAAAGGTAAGTTAGTAGACTCTTTAATCCATGTCGTTGTGGAGATGAGTCTGTACTTGGACAAATAAAAGGTCGGTAGAAAGTTTTGTGACTTTAATTTCATCGAACACGTGAGGAGGGGGATTTCTGTAGTTTACCTGTATAGGAAAGCGTACTGCTCCTTGTAGTATATCGAGCGTCCCAGACGTTCGCTGAGTTCCATAGAGTAGGAAGTCCCTCCCGCCTCCCTGGAACCGGGGATATTCTATGCCTTACTACTGTCATATGTCTTGAATACATGACCCTTAGTTGTATCATTGATATTAGTGACATCTACCGTACATGTACCTCTAACTGGATCGGTCCGACTTGGATTTTCCTAAATGTTATCACTCTACGTGCGTTTTAATCTTTCAAATGTTCAGTTAACCTAGGACTCACGCCTCGGGTCTTTTATTGTTTCCATCACACTAACACTCGCATAATCACCGGTGTTTCTCTATACTATTTAACGCTATAATCTGTTTGATCTGATTGTATTCAGCGAGAATCCCTGCGGAGTTGGATCGGTCTTCGTAGAACGGTGATTATACTAGGAAAGAACCCTTAATGAACTGACCGTGTATTGAAAAAAAATCCACGGAATATTGTACTTCATTGTACTTTTTTTAATCTCACATAATATAGACATGTATAACAACAAAAAAGTTAATTATCAATCTATTTTTTCAGATATTTCAGGTGTAAGTATTTTACAATGTTTAAAATGCAGCCAGTGTACGTGGTGTTTACAAAATATTTAAGTTTGTAAGTGTAGTGATTAAGCTTAAGGGAGAAGATAATAAATTTTAACTCGCAGTTTACTTACTTGTTGACAAGGCTCAGTAGCTCATATATTGATTCCTGGGTAATATCTCTGATTCCTTGAATTAAGATAATATCGTAGCGTCGAACTATCTAAAGGTTACAAAAAAATAAATTTAAATCTCACATAATATTCACGTCGTACACCAGAAAACCATCAATTGTTTATATTTTTGAGATATTCTTGTATAAACTATATTATACATAAATGATACATAAATTTGAATATGTAAGTGATGTATAATTATGTCAATGCTCATTTCCTACCTGGACCAGAATGTCCACCACTTCCTCTTTGGACATCTTGGTTTCACCAAATGTGCGCGCATTAAATGCGGCTATTTTGAGGCCAGTGGCACCACCCGATGCTTAACAAATGTGATGTATGCATGCATGATAAAAAACGTAATACTCGTTCACAAAAGCATAAAAATAAAGAAATAAAAATTGCATTAAATCCCACGTCATCAGTCATCTGTCCTTTGGGCTCCGCTATACTTCATTTCTACTACAAATAAGCTCCACACCACTACTGCGTTAATGCTTCTTTGCTACTTCGATACTACTGCATTTTCGTGCGGGTATACTTTTTTGGTAGCTTTGTAATTTGTCTAGCAAAGTCTTTTGGGCGCCATTCTGTCATAGATAAACAATTCTGTTAAAAAATGCTTCACTCATTTTACGCACTGCAAAAACGACCACTTGCTGCAAAATTCCAATACTTATATGTAGTAGTTGCCGACATATGGATACTTTTTTGACAGAATCCTACTTTGCCAAAGCCAAGCTTCGACTAGTTCAATGGAGCACTACCCAATTAAATAACTGCATATTACACAATTCAGCAGCGCAACAGACAGGGTAACAGACATGGTAGTCAGTTAATTGGTAACAACACAACTGACTAAATACTTCTCCATTCACAAATCTTATATAAGATCGGCGTTTTTTTTAAGGCATACCTTCGAAACTGAAATATCAAACGTCAAATCTGTATATAAATAGAAACAATGTTCGCATTGTTCTATGGCGAGTAATGAACACGTCTTTTGGAGTTTAATTTTTTAAAAAGACATAATTGAGATATGATCATTACAAATCGTGTTCAGGGTGGATGAAAACTTTCAAGGACATCGAGGCGTCCTATAACAGTTGTATATACCGGTAATTAATAATGTTAACTTACGTCTCACCAACCGTTGCTTCGTCGGAATGCTTGCAACCAAGAGACCAAGGTAGAGAAATCCTAACGAACTGAACGGCAAAATTCTCCCCATTGTGTGACAGGCACGTGAAACAGGTGCCGAGGATCTTAGGTGTGATATCTGCAGTGATAATAGAGTACGGTGTTATATACCTACAGGGTACAGACGATATTATGGCTTCCAATTCTGTTGCTGTCCCAGAGTGGAGTGATCCGATATTGGTGCTGCATTCATCTTTCAAGTCTCCCGGTAACAAATTTAAAGGACAATAGTCACTGCGTCAGAATGGCCTGAACGGAACATATTCTACAGAAAACATGCCCAACTAACGATATCTTTATCCAAATACATTTTGTAAATTTTGTAAATTTTTGGCTTTAAAAAACGTCCTATTTGCTCGGCTTGGGAGTAAGTGAGCTACGTGGTCACGTGGTCCGATGACGACAATCGTGCCACTGGAGAAGAGAGCTGTAAAACTGAGCTGCATTATCTACCTGTAAAATGACATTTCTGGCTTCTGATAAAAGTTTAAATCCTCGTAAAGCTGTGTAAAACCATTTCCCGTCTATTCAATTCTTTAACAAGCATTTAATTATGGTTATCCCAAGTTGTATAAAACACTGCATTTGACTTAAGGGTACTGTTGATTATTGCATATGAGGCCCATGTTATTTGTGAAATTTAATTTATTCTATTAAACCGCTGACACCCCGTCTTGCATACTTTTATTAAACTGAGGTAAACAATGCCTTTTACCTTTACAAGTCCTATCGTAATCATCCATCTAACTGGAACTTCTTTTACCTCTTAATTTGTGGGTTAAATGGCATTCAATTCTCCTGTAGCCTTTGTCTTGCACGTATCGAACGCACTCTCGCGGGCGATATTTATCTCAGATAAAAATCTACCTGTGCGTTAGTTTCGAAGAGCATCATCGCAAGGTAGTAAGTAAGTCATGGAAGATCGTCACAGACAAAGAAAGGTTGTCAAGGAGTGCTGCAATTTTGGTGAATCCCACGACAACACACTGACGCATAACGAAAATTGCACAAATCCGATCAACACAACTTGCCTAAACTATTCTGTCTGTATGCACCATGCAGCTCAGTTGAGTCTCATATACCTTTATCCTCATTGTCGTCACAGCACCACGTGGCCCAGATCTGTTGCTTCAATTTTGCATATTGAGGTGAGGTTTACTAAAACGATTTTTTTCTACTAATAGATTGATTTTATAATTTTTAAATGGCGGGGATTGATGAAGACATACCTCTTGTATATAGATTGAGTGCTGAACCTTCAAAATTCGAGAAATGGATTTTTTATGTGACTACATATTGTCCTTCAAAGTTTGGTCAGTTAAGTTCAACATTCACAAAGGTGGCCTCTTGTGTGCAATTATGAATAAGGCATTAAAACAATAAAAAGTTCATTTTTGAAAAAATAGAAAGTTGATGCTATATTTAAAGCTCTTTTGGTCATTTTTCTATATTGATCTTGGCATTTAGACATGGCCTTGACCTATGATGACTTCCAAACATTTTCAAATGAATGGCCATGCCTTTGAACATTGACAATGATACCTATCACAAGTTCCTAAATGACCGTTTCCATGATATGCCCACTTAACACCCTAGCCTGTATATTGCACTATTATTTTATTACACTATGCATCCAAGCTATCAAAATAACTTCAGTTTTGTGCGAGAAAAAGTGTTTTTTGTAATATAAAGTCCAAAGTGCATTGCAAAATTCAAAACGATCTTCTGCCTTTTTCGTACAGTGATTTTCTGACTCTGAGCATAAGACAACATCGAATAAACATATCTATACTTCATTCTCATCAAATGTAATGAAAGTGGTATTTGTCCATTTCTCTGAAATGTGCGAGATCATGGCTCCATTGTTTTACATAATTATCAAAAGGCTGAATCATTAAGCAGAAAAGCAGCGTTTCACTGGCTGTCATTTACTCACCGATAAATGTTCAATTTCTTTGAAGACCGCCTTTGCTTGTTTGTTCTTCCCTAACACGGGCCGCGCTGCTTTGTGAAGGATGGTATCTCAAATATCTAATATAAAGGGTGTAATATATGGCCTTGGTGAAATCTCCCGTCATTCTCTGCGTCATGCGGGTTTGGTGACGTCATACATGTAAGCTTTCCCGGCTGCTCCAAGAACGCGGATAACACATACATATACAGCTTGTCGCCCCGAAAGGGCCTAATCTATAATTTAAATGCATAAGTATCATGGATAAGGTAAAAATATATGTGGCACGTGGATCTCCTTCAAGTCACATGCTTTTAATCTTTTTCATACATTTAAAATGTATTTTTTCAAGGACGGTCTATATATTTTTTTATGAAAAGCAATGGGACTATTTCACGCATGGGACTTTGTTGGCTCTGTCTTAATTGTAGCAACGTTTTCGTTTGATAAATTGAAGGGGATTCATCATCTACCAGCTCAATAGAGTGCCGTATACGCACCTTTCATTTAAAAAATTAATACAAAAATTGCTGGTATAGAGTAATTAGGCACCCGCCGTTCTATGGCAATCGGGTTGACTAATACCACGTTTTGTTACACATGCAGGTGAAAAGACTACAAACGATACTTCAGACTCAGGGCGAAAATAGGAGAAAAAACTCGTATGTTTCATAGTATCTCTTTCTATTTATGTCCTTGACAGACATAAAATTCAGAATGATGGTGTTTATCTCCATATGTCGTGCTCTGATGACGCTAAATACGATGAATCGTAGGCTGACATCTACACAGCTACACTGCGTGCAGATGTAATGGTATCTTATGAACAAAATAATACTATTATTACTCATACCTACAGGGTTTATCCTCCCCTGTAATGAAGTATGTGATCTGTTTTTCTTTACAGCTCATTTCAGATTTTTCCTTTTTCATACGTATCACATATTAAAATACAGACTTGACACTTAATATGAAATATTTTCTCCAAATCACATTTAATCATTTTTTTTTCTATTTTGCTGACTTATAAATGAAAATAAGGATTAAAATCGTATTTTAAAAACTTTTGATAATACGTTCGATGTTATTTTGACATCAGTGCATTAACTGAATATGCCAGTGAAGCAAACAAAAATGCACTGCCTAATTTGAGACATACGAAAACCATTGAAAGCGATATTTTGAATCTCCATATTTTCCGAATTAACGTCTTTAAAAGAGTTACACGTCCCACAAAGGCCCCTCACGTCAGTGGTCGCTGGACCTCATCTTGCTGCTACCAGAGCTTTCAAGCGGCAAGGCATTCCTTAGGATTGGTTTTAGAGTTTAATCTGGAATAAAATTCCAGGCACCGGTTAAAACTTTTCCAATTTGGTTCAGTTTTGTCGCAGGACATGCAGGCCGTGGAGTGGAGTAAAGGAATATGCCGATGAATAATTATGATATTATATTGATTATTTGAACAGGTAAGAACAAACGGTGTCTACAAATTACAGTCTTCGAACATACATATATATACATATATACGTGTGCGTACTCAGTGAAAGCCGTTGAACTAAACCTGAGGCCAGAAAACCTTTATCGGAAGCGTTTCTTTTGATATATTTCACTAGTCTGCATCTCGATTTCATACGCTTGTTTGAAACTAAATAAAAAAACGAGTCAATATCACAATTCGATGCACACAAAAAAACAAAGGATTAAGAAAGAGCACTTGGTCTCCATATCTAAAAATGTGATGACACTGGAACTGGTTTTAGATAATTCGTGCAAATGATTATCCAATTATGCAGATCCAAATGACACTCACAATTTGGTGTTCCATTTATATTGATAGCACCCCTGTACTAGCTTGTCAGGAATCTACCCACATCACTTGTCGAACAACATTGTTGGAAATAATTGACCCTTGGCGTTTCACAAAACACGTCCGAGCACACATATTTTACGTGAATACATTTGTAAGGTTTGTTTTATTTGTTTTTCAATTTCATACTTCTTGGGGAAGAAAGTGATGATTCATACAGTATTTTTTTTTATGCAGTATGTGTATTGATACAAAATGTAGATTTTCAAATAATAAATAAGGTCTTGCATGCTTCATGATCGTGTGTCTCTTTGCCTCGTTGAAAAGTATGTAGGCACTAAATAAAAAATTTTAGTCTTTTGAGGTAAAAATACTGCATCACCGGATGTTTAAAAGTTTGATACTTCATTAATAGACGAACATCTGATTTAATCCTCTGAAAGTAGAGTAAAAAAGTTGTAGGTTATGTTTCACTTATTGCACATTTCTGCCAGACACGTGTAACATTTTCCAAGTTGTTTCTTTTATTATTTATAAGCCCTTGATAACAGATTTGGCACTTGAAGCCACACTGGTACACGAACTTTTGGAAATCCAATACTAACTAATTAATAATAATAATAATAACAATAATAATAATAATAATTATAATGCTGATGATAATGATGATGATGATGGTTACCTGCTTGTACATGTGTCGCACACATGTATATCGCACGTGATATAAATTGCTTCTGACAACTAAGGGTGCATTCCCGGAGATTTAGATCGATCCAGAGATTTAGATTTAGATCGACCTAACTCCCTGGGGGCTCACGCTAGATTGCAGTCAGCCAAGCGCGCACTATAGTTAATTCCCCCTTACGTACAGCTTTTAGTAGGCCGGACAGACGCTTAACCCGGTTAAGCTGACAGTAATCTAGTGAGACTCCCCACAGGGATAGATCTATCTAAAATCTACGGGAATGGGGTCTAATATTGTGAACTGATAAAGAACCGTGTTACTAAAGCAGGTCAGTGCATGGTCTAAATAAAACGGCCCCATTACCCCATAATGTTAGTGTGAGCTCACAAGTCAAGGACATAAACCTGATAATGTGATAATGAAGAGGGTGCATATAGACTTCAAACTAAGTGTAACATTTGGTTTCACCTAAAACGCGTCTTCAGATATACCAGTTTTTAAGAAAAATGTGCAACTGTGACCTGATGACCTGATCAATGAGATAACCCAGGGCATTAATATCATAGTATTCATTTTATGGGGTAACAACACTTTGTGTACATAGAATAAAGAAGAAATCTTTATGATAACATATATACACACAAGACCTCGATCATGACCTGACTAGGGACAGTCAGGTCAACTGCACCTTAAAGTGTGTGAACGAGATAAAAATTTACACGTGCAAGACCCATTTTAGAATTAAATGGGTCCCGCGCGTGTCATTTCTTGCACGTGCAATAACCCAATGTTTACGCAAACTGACACCATGTCCAACTGGTGTAGTGACATACATCTGCTTGATATAGGCCCCGGTATAAATATCTCTGAAACTGTGCTATAGTGCCATTATTGAAAGGATCACATACGTATAATAACCCCCAGGGATTGTTCACTATCTACAATGCCGATTGAAAAAATATCTGCATTGCTGTTGTTAGCAATTGTATGTTTCTTGCATTTGAGTTTGGGTGGATTGCATTGTAACACCCCGTACCAAGAGGTTGCTTCAACATGTTTACGGTTTTCTACTGACAATTTGGATTGGGAAGCAGCAAGGAATCGGTGCACCACTGAGGATGCCCACTTGGCAGTTCTAAATACAGTATGGAAAAGAGACACTGTTCTTGAATTTATTAGAAAACAAATAGGTATGTGCACGTATCTCGTCTATATTAAAACGTCTTATTAGACGAATAAAACAAACGTCTTAAACAATTTCCAGCACCCTTGATAGGAATGTTTTAAATTATTTATTTATTTTTATTTATTTATTTATTTTTCTTGTTTGTTTTAGGACCAAGTCTATTTTGGGTTGATGGCAGAGATCCAGGATTGACCGATAAATGGATATGGTTTTCGCAGAACCTAACATTTGATAAGACGTTGTGGGCTAACAATCAACCAGATCCGAGCAGTGGGGAATACTGCGTGGCTCTTGACTTTCCATCTGGTCTCCGTGATTTTGGTTGTGACGGTACACATAGGTATATATGTCATCAGGACACAGGTAAGAAAACAGTTTAACTCGATAACATACATATACACACGCCAAGATGAATTCATGGGACACCTTTAAATGAATGCCCTCTTAAGCAACCAAAAGGGTTTAAAGGGTCAATAGAAATAATAGTTTCAAGTTTTGGTCGGGCAAATGAGAACTTTTCCTAATTCATGTTTATTGTTTCCACTTGCGTAATAGTACACACACACACACAGGCGCACGCACGCTAGCACACATAGACACACACACATACGCACACTTTTTTACATCCGATTATTCTCAAACTGTGCCTTTTAAAATATGGCATCTTGTAAATGGTGACTTACCTCAATTATTATGCCGAGACGGCAACACTATATTTTTGCCGCGTTTTGACAAACAGAATGATCGGTTGACATGTTAACAGAATATCTGATGGAGAGCTCTATAAAGGACTCAACAAAGACCCATTTCGCCATTTTGTGCTCTGCAAACTTGCATACCAAACAGAATAAATAAATAGATAAACTTTCCCTCAATTACATTCATCTTTTCCCTCATCGTTGAGCCTCCTGCTTAAATAAATAATAAATGATAACCTAACTGCCGCTGCTCTGAAACTGTTTAATCTCTTGATAACACACTGCACATAATCTATACTGTATGACAACTTTCAGTGAACGGGGCCTGGGGAGACTGGGGAAGCTGGAGTAGGTGTTCGCAGACATGTGGTACACAGGGGCTGAGGTACAGGACTCGAGAGTGTGATAAACCGAAACCTTTAGGCCTCGGTAAACCCTGCCCTGGATCTGCACGTGAAACAGAAGTTTGCTTCCCCGGTCAATGTCCAAGTAAGTAAATGTAGGTCATGCACTTATGTGTTACCTTGCCTGCATTATTAGGGTCATATTGACCCGAAAAATTACTTTTAACATTAATTATTTTTTCAAGAAAGGGTATCACACTGTTATAAAAGTGCAAATGATTAACGCCGTTTTTCATATCACTTTCAGAGTAAGTGTTTCAAAGGTTAAACCCGTCAAGCAATAAAATGACGTACTTCACACCACTGCGAGACATATCCCGGGCATATAAAATATTATTGATTTTATGTCCTTTTGGTTGTAAATAGTATTATAGTTATAGAACTTATATTACGTGTAGCTGCATTAATATGACTTTTTGCATAGCTACTAATGGTTTGAATAAGTTATGTCAAAATAAAGTAAAACGTTTAGGTTACCAATTAGTTTGCCTCAAGAGCACTGTCAGTGCCCCTTGATAGTGTTCTGTTGTTTTATATACATGTGTTTGTCCTATAAAACATTTTAGCAGGATTTTGATCGTTAAGATATGAGAATTTGTCTTCAGTGCAAGGTGATGTGTTGGATTTATCACGCACGTGTATATAACGTGTTTTTACTTAACCTATATTGAATTTGCTTATACAGCCTGTCAGATACACAATGTCCCCGGAGCCATGAGCTCGGTATCTGCATGCTGCAAGAATAAATGAAAATGAATACGTGCGTTATTACTGTATTCCTGAGCACATACTAGTCAGTGGAAGTCTGATCAGAACATGTCAGGCAGATGGTACTTTAACAGACGAGGAGCCGCAGTGCAAAAGTAAGTGAAAGCAAAAATAATATAATTACCCAATTATCTAGATGTTCGAAAATGTTATGGTGGCATTTACAGACAGACATTCAGGCTTAAAAAGAATAGAAACAATGTGTTGTTTTTATATATAGTATTCATGTCATGTTTATGGTCGCTATTTCCATAACTCGCAAGTGACAAAGAATTACTAATTTACGCAGATAGACATATTAAGTCTTTTAATGAAAAGAGTAGAATGTGCGTCGGAATTGATGTACTAAATGTTAAAAATTTTTCCAGAATGCTGTGGAAAGGCACGTTTCATTCTTAACGGCTATCCCGATACATCTGCCACCTTGTGCTATGGTGATCTTGTGAACTATCTGTGCGACAGAGGATACAAGTCCTCAAACAGCACGCCTATCGTCTGCTCGTCACACTACGAATGGAAGTACATACCACTGCCTAAATGTGAACGTAAGATAAGAAATTTTTTTTAACCAGATTAGGTTAGCTGCTCTCCACACCTGTTGAATTAACGTACATGTATGTTTCTTTCAATGTTAATACTATAATGCAGACCGCAAGCTGAGCCAAATACCTGCGCTTCGCTAAAAAAAAAAAAAAAAAAAAAAAAAAAAAAAAAAAAAAAAAAAAAAAAAAAACCAGGCCACGCAGATAACACTTTGGTGTTAGGTAACATTTTTTTTTAATTTCTAAAGAATTACATTTTAAAATATATAAAAAAATTACACTTATTAACAATAAAGTTCTTCAAAATAAACTGCAGTTTTTATATGTTTCAATTTTCAGTAACTAATAATAATAATAAGGGTGTGGTTAGCACACATACCTTAGTATCAAGTTTCGAGTATAGGACTTCCAGAGCCTACAATATGAGAAAATTAAAATTTTCGACAAATTGAGTAGCCAAGATATGCTACAAATTATGGATGCCATTGGTTTCAGCTGATGGCCACTGTAACATCAGTGATGTCCCAGTTCCCGAGAATGGTTTCGCCTCTTGCTCAGGAAGTGAACTCGATAAAGTTTGTTACATTCGCTGTGATAAGGGATACACTTACATGTCAGACCGCACCGTGTTTGAATGTGGTGCTCCAACTAGATGGGGGTGGAAGGTCAGTGATAAAAGCGGAAAGTACATGAGAGCTGACGTAGGGCGTTGTGAAGGTAAATGTCAGAATACGGTCATCCTTGATGCCTATGAAAATGATCTATAGAGTATTTTTTTCAAAGTTTGATTTTTGCTGCACAAATACCTGTCCTCGGGTGGAACTGCAGTTATGCTGAGATGCACCTCGTTAAGTGAAGAATCATTTTTACAGCTTGGACATATTGTTGAATGAAAGTAACTGCGATTTTCTTTTATTTAAACAGTTTAGCCCTCTGTAGTGTCTTTGACAAATTGCTTAGTTGAAAAGTAAAAACAAATGAAGTCAAAATAAGTCAAATAATTCAATGTCGCATGTAACCCTTTTCAGCTACTGGGGACACACTGGCAAATATTGTGATGGGTATTATCGGACCCAAGATCACCATGGCGTCATTAAAGTCTGATGAAAAATTGAAGCAGGAAATCATATCGGAAATGAAAAGAGAATTGAAAAAGATGAATGTCTGCACCGATCCATGCGAGGTAATCTGTGGGGCTTATTCACAATCAAAATATAAATAGTGTAGTTAAAGTAGAATGCGTTCATAAAGGATAGTATAATACCCGTTAATTGATTTTCAGCGCATTTCAATTCTTCTCAGTGTTCTGGTTGTTACAATAATGGTTTGATATCTTACCTATTATCATAATTTATCTTGTGTTAAAAGTGAATAAGGACTGTGTCCACTTTTAGATAAAAGATATACAAGTAAAAAGGGTACACGGAAGCTATCTACGACGGGCAATATCCCAATCAAAGCTATTCAGAATGATTATTAACCTTTATGCGGCCGTCCCTAGGGGATCCTTAATCACGCAGCAGTCAGCAACTCTTGCTCTGTCCAAAAACCTGAAACATCTGAGGTAAGACAATTGCTTAAATCGAGTATTTCCGGTTTAAATACATATGCTATCAATTGCCCTATGTTTTATGTACAAAGCAAAACTGGGATAAAGTACAAAATCTGAAAGAGATCTATTTTCATTGACCTGCGTTGACCTAACAAATGTAAAATGAAGCTGCAGGCGTTCAGTATTTATACGTAATTGTGTTTTATTTTTTGGTAGAACTCAGGCGGCAGCCATCAAATCGGCCATAGAGTCCCAAACCATATCCTTACAAATAGATGGCGTTACCGTCCCAGTAAAGGGTGATAACATAAGGGTTTCCCAGCCATCATTTGAGTGTTCCCCGGGCTCCATCAGGAAAATGTTTAATTGCCGTACGTATGTGTGGTGTTGCTCTTTAAATGTACAGTTTCATTTAAGTTCGTACAGTTTCATTAAAGTTCGGCGGCGCTTTTTTCCAAAGTGCTATAAGATCAACTTACAGGTTTATCAAATCATCATACATTTAAATAATTCGTGTATTTATATATTTTTTCTTTTTTGTTAAAGCTAATTTTCCTTAGTGCTGTTTTCAAGTGCCACTTCATTTCCATTTACTTCATTTTCAGTGACCTGCCCGGAAGGAACATACCATGACGTCGATGAAGAGAAATGCGCAGCTTGTCCATTTGGTCAGTATCAGGACGAAGCTGGTCAGTTGACATGCAAGCAGTGCCCCAATGACACTACCACGGATAGAATTGGAGTAAATAATGTGTCCAAGTGCAGAAGTGCGTACTTTAATATGGCAAAATTTAATTTCGTTTACATTTAATTAAATTTAATGTAAATTTAATTTACATTTCAACTGACTCTTTACGCGTTTTTCGGTGGATTACCTAAAACTTTGTGGTATGGTGTTTTAGAATAATGCGATTTTTATGCCATGAAAGTAAATGACATTGTCAAGGGTCTAGGCAACGATTAATTATAGATGATATTTTTGTTTAATTTTTATTTTACTTTTAATTGCACGGTATTGATAGAATTCGAGGTATTACCTCTCAAGTAAAATTAAATGAAAACGGCTGTTCATACTTTATGTAGCTTATGAAGGTTGTAGTTGTGGAATACATCCATGTTTACTTAACGGTACAGACTTCGTCTGCGATTGCCTGCCAGGTTATGAAGCAAACGTGAATGGAACATGCACAGGTAAATACCTTGCAAAGATAATGACGCTAAGACCGTTTATTAATTAAGATGTGGTTTTCTTTCATCAGTAGTTTTTAGTATATAGTTATTAAGAGCATTTTTAAACATATTAAGTATAGTATTTTAAATTTTGTTTCGTATGCAATAATCTCGAGCTTCAGTTAAATGTGTGTCAACTTATTCATTCTCAAACATTTACATTATTAATTCTGACCACACCGTAAATTGCTTCATATTTTGATCCAGATGTCAATGAATGCCTTGAGGACGTCTGTCCGGATAATGCTCGCTGCGTAAACAAGGAAGGCTCCTTCAGATGCGAATGCTTAACAGGTTTTCAAGGAGGCACTTGCTTTGGTACTTATATGTTGGCATTACGTATTACTTGGAACAGAAATCGATTAACAATGGCGGTTTACAAAGAGCTATTAGCTGGTTTAGCATTCTTACACTAGAAAGTGAGAATAACATACTTTTGTTAGGTAGAATGTATCAGCCGTAACTGTCTAAATAAAGAAAAGAGCATGCAAGGGGTGGGTTATGCATTTATATGACACACGTCCGGCTAAGATACCCCACATCGTGCAAATTGCCCTTGGTTCTAGATATCGAACAATCTCCAGTAGGCTTATACATTGTATATTAATGTATTGTATTATTACTTTTACCACTGTACGTTTTGTTTAGATATTGATGAGTGCAAGCGTCCTGACGCATGTCCCAGTGCTGGGATGCAGTGTATCAACACTGTGGGGAGTTATAACTGCACATGTAAAGGTGGACTTTTCGGAGACAACTGTGGTAAGTTGTATAAAAATACGAATCTGGGTTTTCCAGCGAAGTGTGACTGCATGGTTCACGTTAAATGACGCACTCATTTGTGTAACGTTGTAATAGCTGGTTCTATCTTCAACCAATATCATTTTTTTTATTTTTATTTTTTCCATATTGATAGTTACTTTAGTATTTTAAAAAAAGCTTAATTACGACTTATTCAAATCTGAAGCCAGCCTCAGATCTACACTAAGTTAATATGATTAAACATTCAGCAGAATTTACTGCGTGTGTCGAAAAACGATTCCAATGATTTCACACATGTTGACGTTTACTGGTATGTGCTAAGGGAGTTATTTTAATTGAAGTAAATTAAAATTTTATTCCAGATGAGGACTGTCCTGATAAGTTCATTTTAATTGGTAATACCTGTCAACATATTTCGGAAGGACAGGGGAATTTCTCCGAGGCTACTCACGCATGTTCTGCCATCTATCCCGATGCCCGCCTCGTTGACATCAAAGACAAACTCGCATTTAAAACACTTACTAATTTTCTTCTAAAGGATAGATCGTATTGGATAGGTACGTGCTTGGATACTTGTGTAACCAATAAAAGAAGATCCCATTATGTATACTTTTAATTGTTTGCGAAATTAGTCTAACTATCAAAATGTACATGGTTCTGAAGTAAGCGTAATGCATGCTAAAACCAAAAACTATGCAGCCACTATATAAAGTTATTTGTTTCCCTTGGAAACATCTGCGAACACATACTAACGACCTTCATCTCCAACGTTTTATTCAGGTTTGAACGATATCTCAAAAGAAGGTGACTTTGTGTACAGTGATGGAAGCAATATGGGTACCTACAATGAATGGGGAACCGGGAACACCTTACCAGCGTCCAATGACCCTAACAAGAACTGTGTCATTATGGATGGGCCGTCGGCTTTTATATGGAGAGTTGTTGACTGCAGCAGCAAGCGTTATATCATCTGCGAGCTCCAAAGAGTTTAAATATATCATCTGTATGTGGACGATAAATGTTAACATGGACGTTTATTTGATGATATAAGATTATCTGTAGAACATGTCCAGTGATATCCAGTGGTTGACTGGAAAAACAGCACGTGATATGTATGGAAGTGTATTTTAAATTTGATTTAAATATTAAATCATTTTTAATTATATTGACATATAAGTATTCACCAATAATCACGCAGTGGTTCTTTTTGCATTTGCGACGATGAACGATGCAATTTTGACTGTTTATACTTCTTCCCCATTTAGAAAAAGTGTAACAATAATATTGGTATTGATCTTTAAAGGGTGATACTCAAATGGTTAAGATGACTTTAGTAAACAGTATGCAGTTTTCCAGTAATGACGGAGTGACTGTTTTCAGCTTATTCCAAATGTTTTGGTTTATATATAATAGAAAAAAAATATATGTACATAAATGTGTAATGACAGTTTAATTGACGCCATGTTTTTCCTTCTTCTGCGATATTAACAGTATGTAGTCGTTGCGTTGTTGATTTGTTATTGTCAAATAGACCCAAGTGTACATTTAAGATTAAGGCGCAAAGGCTATCATAGATCATGTAGGTGTGAAGGTTTAAATGATATGACATCAATAGCTCACTGGATATCTTGATAAGGGTGCTCTTATATCCACGGTGCACATGTGTCTATAGATTGGTCTTTCGTGTTTCACTAAACACGTCCAAGCACACATTTTTTACGTAAATACATTTTTAAAGTTTGTTTTATTTGAATTCGCTATTTTATATCTCTAGAGGAAGAAAGTGATGTATTCATACAGTGTGTATTGATACAGTAAATATATAATGATACAATATCTAGATTTTGAAACAATAAATTTGGCCTTGCATTACTTAATGAAAGTGTGTCTCTTGGCCTTATTGGTAGCCCGGCCTACCCTTGATTTTTGTTGGTGTCGGAAATCGTATGTAGGCACTGAATCTATAATTTTCAACGTGTTTTGAGGTAGAAATACTGCATCACCGGACGTTTGAAAGGTTGATACTTCATAAACACGCGGACATCGCATTAAATGCATTGGGAGTAAGGCAAAGAGGTTGTATGCTAGGTGTCACTTATTGTACATTTCTGCCAGACACATTTCTTTTTTTTTATTATTTAGAAACCCTTGATAACAGTTTGGCACTAGGGGCCACACCGGTACACGAACTAAGAGTTTCCATTTTAACCTTTAATCGTCTGTAATAATAATAATATTAAATATGATTAAAATGATGAGGAAGATAATGATTATGGTAACCTGCATGTAGCGTGTACATATGTGCAATGTACACCTGCACGTGTCGCACACGTGTATATCGCACGTGATATGAAGTGCCTCTACCTACTAATATTGTGAACTGATAAAGAACTGTGTTACTAAAGCAGGTCAGTGCATAGTTTAAATAAAATGGCCCCATTAACCCATAATGTCAGGGTGAGTTCACGAGTCAAGGACATAAACATGATAAAGATTGTTTTGATGTGATAATGTAGAGACGTGGTAAATGTATCCCTATCAAGTGTACCCCTTAAGGGAGCATGTACAGGTAAACTTCAAACTCATTGTACCATTTCAAGTAAAAAAAGTGAAAAAATGAAGTAATGAAAATTGTACAGTTCCCCTAGCAACGTACAATTTAGTTTTCAGGCTGAATTCGGGCTATAGTCGAATGTGCTGCATTGTCCTACTGTTATGCTTGGGTTGCATCTACCTACCCAGGTTTTACTGGGCGACTGTAACATGGGATTATAAAGTCGCAGGAAGTGCATTAGTGATGTCACTCACTTGTAAGTGTGTTTGTTGTAACTTTCTCTCATTATCAGATAAAATCACAACATGTAGGGGTATTCTGACATAGAGAAGCTAGCACGAAATGTAGTTAAGTGTGAGATAATACACTGTCACCCGAGCGATATATGCCATAACACCTCGAGCGTCAGCAAGAGGTGTTCATGGCATATATCGCGAGAGGGTGACAGTGTATTATTTGACATACATACCGAGAAAAAATACAGTCATTTCATTCTAAAACACCCCTAAAACCGAATAAAGTGACCCTATATCACGCTCTAGAGATGTTATACGGAATAAACTCGTCCACGTGCGCTGGTCACCTCCTGCCAAATTCTTACGTAATGTCTGACCAATTTGGTCAATTTTGCTAAATACTTGTCATGGACGTCCAACTGGCTTGAAAAGTATTTAATCAACCGTCGACACTGACCATGCGCGTCTCAGCTGATCTAGCTCGAGCCACACCTAGCTGGGACTGTTGCGGAAAAAAGGTCCCACGGCAAAACCTCTACTTTTTAGTGAGTTTTCTGATAAACAAGGAGCGTCGGACTGGAATATAGTCAAACTAATTTTTCACAAGTGCAAAGGAGAAAGAAATTTACTTTTTGGTGGTATTTATGACAGCGAGGCAGTTTCGGAATATAGTCAAAGTTAGACGGATGTTTATTACAAGTTCAGGGGAGTAATAATTCTAGTTTTTATTGTTATTTCTGACGACGAGACGGTTACGTATATAGTCAAAACCAAGGGGATGTTTATTTCAAGTCCACAGGAGTAATAATTCTACGATTTTTTACTACGAGTCAGTTTCGGAATATACATGTGCTGGTTTTCATGGCATTTATGTGCTACATGTAATTACAAGTTCAAAGGGGGAATATATTTGATTTTTACCGATATATCTGATAAAGAAGAAGAATGAACAGCTTAGAAGCAAAAGGTAAATAACACAACCCTCGTTAAAAAGTTGTAGACTTACAAATAATTTGTATGCACGTGTGGCTTAAATGTTAACTTATTCCCGTTTTCAAACCATACATACCTAGGGATGTTATATGACCGTGGCGATATGCTGATCACCGAAGCCTGTCCATTTAGTCAAGCTTCTGTGAAGATCGAGGGCAACCTCGAGCTGCTACTCAAAAATATCTCGCTTTACTCGACATTTCTACGTAGCGTCTCTCGGAAAACTCGGATTTAACCTCGATGTAGTCTAAAATTTCACGACTACATCTTGCTTAAATCAGTCGAGGTCTCTTAAGTGCTGAAAGCCAAAGACAGAGTGATAATGTGACCTTCTTGGCATCAAGAGAAACGTGACGTTGCTTGCGTTATATACCTACCAGTAAACACATTTAAAATCTCTCACACTCTTGAAAAATTAGCATAAACTTTTCACGTTTAGCAACTATTATTTATTATTTTATAACACTAAGTCATATCATATGTAATATTTAACCTTGTATTGGAAGTTTCCAATGGGATAATTTGGTAAAATTTTGACACTTGATGATATGTTCCAATGTCTTCCCTTTGAGCAGGACAAAGGTATTTTATATTTTATTTTGTTCCCTTTGTTTTTCGACGTGCAAAGAAATAATTGTATTTTAAGTCATATTCAAGCAATGCATTCGTTTCATACACACAAATTCGCACACCCAAATGGCACATTTGACAATCCTTATAAAGGGATTAATGTCCAAGTTTACTTTATAACAACATTATGGAAATGATATGGCGATAAATTTGACCTCTATGTGACATACATTGCATCTTTAATCTTGCCATCGACACGTGCATGTACCGCCTGATATGATGAACGTTGTATCTGTGCATTTAACGCATGCGTTGTAAATATTGCATCGACCGGAACAGTTATTCCACAATTTGATCTATACACAAAACTAGTTGCATGCTGTTGAATAATTGTTAAGTGTTCAGTGTTCTGCCTAACGCTTTTTTTGTAATATAAATGACACTTTAAACAAGAAATGTGCTTTTCTCGTTGTCACTTAACAGTGCATTCGTTATTCTGGAAGCAATTTTATATAATCAATAAAATTAGAATTACATTGTTGAACCATTTTTTTAACAATGTTTATTCAAAGGAAATGGAGGCAAAGCGCTAAAAACATTAGATGCTCTCCATGTAAGACAAAATTAAACAAGTAAATAAAACAAATGGATACGTATATGCATATACACAAGAAGCAACAGAGTGTATATATAAGAAAGAGAGATAAAAGGAGGTCATAACTAGTTAACGTACACAACTAAATACAAACATTAGAGATCAGATTTCAGTATTGGAACACAAAAGTTACCAGAAATAATTAAATACAGAAAGAATGAAAGTAAAAGGGAGAAGAAAAGGGATCGTAACTATAATTTACGTATACAACACAACTAAATACAATTTGGATTACATTTATAACAAAGAAAATTACATGAAATCATAAAACGAAATCAGTTAGGTCAAGTAGAGAAAAGATAGTGCTTATTGAGTAATGTCATGGTTTTCGAGTAGAAAATTTGCAATGGTTTCGAAGATCATTTCATTTTGGGTAGTTGATAGAGATCCATGGCCATAGAGAAATATAGTGAACCAATCTACAACCAAAGCGTACTTTATTGCATGAGATGGAAAAAAAAAGACATATTCGATAAATAATTAAAACTGATTCATTTTCTTTGTCAGCTACAATCATTACTTATATATTCATGTCAAACAATGTCACATGCACGTTTAATGCATGTTTTTTATTGGAATTGAAACCTTAAGCATATCCTATTGTAAATATATGTATCCATGTGTACAGGTGATGTATTCGTATTCAGTGAATTTTCAAGCCAACAAGGTCTTATAACAAAATCCCCCAAAATTAAAGTTAGGATTGGAAAGTGCCCTCTTACAATTATCATCTATCTATCGTCTCATTTCACTAAATCGTTTATAAAATAGAGAGTCGAATGTTCATCAGGTCGTCATGCGTTCATATTATCAATCAGAAAACCAGTTTAAAACACATTCGCCTGTGCACATAAAAATAATTGGATTAATTTCAACATGAAGTGTAATAGAAACACACGCCTATCAGTGTTCCTTTGATTACTGCAATTCGGATCTACTTAAATGTCAAACTTTTTCTATTCTCCTCATGAAAAAAGCGTGAGGATGCTACATGTGGGTCTTACAGAATTATTTTTACTCGATGTTAGTCTTTTCTGTTAACCTCTTTTAAGCGCACAAAGAGCCAGGTGCTTCTCGTTGCAGTCAACAACTGACCACATGAACGCTGCCGACCCGTCCATGATGACGCAGTTTTTCATTGGGTCATTAGACGTCGGCTGGGAGTTACCGTTGCCCCATTCGCTGTACGCAGACATTTGACTCCCGTCACTGTAGACGAATTTTCCTTCTTGTGATCGGTCGTTCAAACCTAGAAAAGAAAAAAAAACACTTCTAGCAATTTATCGAGCAATTTATCAAGCAATTTGTACTCATACTTGTTGTCTACATAAGATATATTCTGAACCTCAAATGCTGATATTCAGAACTTGAAAATGTACAATATATACTATATATATGTAGAGCTATAAAAACGTGATTGTGGATATGGTTTAAAAACACGTTGTTTCTGGTCAAATTGCCGTTTTCCATAGACACAAAAGTTGACAATATTAATGTTATAAACGTATTTAAAGCGCATCTAATATGAACGACTTGCCTGTCCAATACGATCCGGAGGCCTGGAGAATTTTTGTGACAAATTTGAAAGTCCTTTTGTCCTTAACATCAGCCAGATGTGACCCGTTGTAAGCTCTTTCACACATGAGACGTCCATCGTCAAAAGTCACCATCTTCTCCGTTATCAAATAGCAGTTACTGTCCCCCTGCACAAAGCCCACCGGGCAATTGCGTTCTGAAAACAAAACGCCAAGAAATGTATTTAGTGTATGCGAGGTATATGCCGTTCTCAATTGGAGTAAAAGCAAGTTACATGTCAATCCAGCACGGAATTGGGTAGAAATAAATACAGTTGCATCGAAAGAAATTGGTACAATTATCGAAACAATACATTCGAGTTTAATAGGCTTTATTTAATCATTTGATATGCATCTTGCAATATATGGAGAATTTTAACATGAACTAACTCACCACAATTATTTCCGTAGAACCCGCCGCGACATAAGCAGTCATAACTCCCCACGGTGTTAACACACTGAGTCCTGGGGTTGGAACACGTGGAGGGTTTTTTACATTCATCTATATCTGGATTGAAACAATGAACATTGAAGATAAAACGAACCTACCGTATATGTATATATGGTGTATGTTATCTTTTATAATTGCCTTTAAGATTGACTGTTCCCAATTGGCTGTAATCAAGAATGGTACCCAATCCGTGTACTTACCAGTACAAGACCCTCCCTTGTATCCAGGCAAGCATTCACATCTATACGACCCCTCTTTGTTGATACAACGGGAGTTGGTAGGACAAATGTCAGTAACGCATTCATCAATATCTACAAAGGTAGAACAGCACTCAACTAACCCAATGAAAATATCACCAGATACTATTAAGTATTCCACCTGTCCCCAAAGAACCACTTAAGAATGTGTTATATTTCAAATCGTTTTATAAAGAAAAAATCCACATTTAACAATCTTCACAGAGGCGTACACACATATATCGTATACCTGTACACGTTCCATTGATGTCCTCATATCCGGGAAGACAGTCGCATTTGAAGTCAGTACCATTGAGGGTGCATGGGTGGATGCCACAGTCGCAACCTTCGTATTCTGTAACAAATTAAGTATCATACAGTAAGTATGGGTAAAACGTGAGACAATCCCTAGAAACACAATGGACATTCTATTTGAAAGTTGTTTGCAGGTATTCCCGGAAAACTACACAGTGCCTGAAAAAATACTTACTTTTTTATTCCACCAACTAATACATTGTAAACATAAAAAATAAGATGTGCCTATTCTTTCAATGACACCGCTAAATGTTTGATTCGAGAAATCTTAAACCACATATTGAACGGGATGCAATGAACTATTCATCTTAATTTTGGAACTTACTTCTGCACTGAGAAGAGTTGGTAACCCCAATTCTATCCGTGGTAGTGTCATTTGGGCACAATTTACAGGACATCTTACCGCGTTCGTCCTGATACTGACCAAACGGACATGAGGTGCATTTCTTTTCAGCCTCGTTATGGTATGTTCCTTCCGGGCAGTTGACTGTCAACCCAAATATATTTCACAATCAATAACCCGTTAACATTTAGCAGTCGTTCCATTCTTCTTTTATATTTGTACATATTTCAGCTAGTTATATGTCACATATAAGGTTCATTCCCAGATAGTATATATTTCTTTATAATGATTTTATTAAATGTACATATCCATTTAAGCCATATACGTTTTTACATACAGCATTCATAGGCTCTCCTAATGGAACCTGCAGGACACGCCAGAGATGGTCTGGAAATCCGCAAGTTTGTGCCTCCCACTTTTGCAAACGTGCCATTGATATGTAACGTTACTGACTGGGATAATATCGCCTGTTTCAGTGCAGCCGCTTTCGTGCTACAAATGAAAAGAAAAACACAATTTTTATCTAAATATCGGACTCTTTCAAACATTATTATAAAACAGCAGCTCAAATAATGCATGAACCTGCTTCTACATGTAGGAGTGAATGTTCACACCTACATAAACGCACTTATATGTTGGTGATTGCGTGTGTTGTCACTTACCTCAACAACTTCATGGCCTTAGACAGTTCTATTCTTGCAGATTGCTGGGTGGTGACGGACCCTTTGGGAGGAACTACGTATAAAGTGATCTTCATGCGTAATAGCTTCTCTTGGAGCACTGCTCTTCTATATCTATTGGTTTTGATGGTTTCTATTTCAATGTCTCTGATCTAAATGTAATAAGATGAGCGTGCAATTAAACACATGTATTGTTTTTTAGTCGGTTATATTCTACTAGACGGTCACAAAACAATATCATTGCTATTGAACATCAATGTGATCGCATGAAAAATAAATAACATATTTATCAAGTTCGTCTCACCTGACAAGGAACTGAGCATATATTTAGAGCAACCAATTCTTTCATCATTTCGTTCTTTATTTCCTCTTTTAAAGCTTCCGTCAATTCAGAGGTCTGTAGTGTTAAATCACAGTACTCAAGAGACATTAAAAGCCACACTGGAACGTCAGGATCTGTAACATGAATACACTACATGATATTTGCATATACAGAGGGACGGACTGATGAGATTGATGATCACGTGCATCTTAACGATACGTGGGGATACCATACATTCGGAATCAATAGAAATAACTATATACACAAAACTAAAAGAGAGAAAGATGTGTTTGTTGTTTTTTTTATTTGGGGGAAGGGGGGTGTAACCTACCTTGGCAAGTTCCTACAGTGCCTCGTAAATGATTGTTTCCACCTCTCATAGGGACTTTCCACTCCCAGCCTGTCTTAGCCCCACATTCAAATATACTATGGTCACTCGTGTATGTAAAACCATTGGAACAATGCATGTAGCATACTTTATCTGTGTCGCTTCCGGAACATGCTTTATAACCACCTGACGGTCCAGCAATAGCACTGGAGTTACAGCTTCCATCCGCTGAAAATGACGATCAATCTCCCGTGTATATATATTTAAAATATTAAGATCGACTGACATATAGTAATTCGCCAGCCCTTGAAGTGCATGCACCTCTATTTTCAGTGATGACATACATTGCAAACCTGCATTTACTGTTCTGGTCCTGAGGGAAAAAAACTTACACTAACGTACATTCTTAACTTCAACTTTTCCTTTGAAAATATCACACCTACCATATTAAATCCAAAAGGCATTTATAAAATATTAAGCGATAACTATACAGCAATGGATCCTAAAATCACCTTTACACTTAGGTAACTCCAAGTATCGCCATTCATCTGGGGACATGCAAGTGATGGGAGTGTCATTGGATAGTTTATAGCCCTTTTCACACTGATAGGTAACAGTATCTCCGAAGCAAAGGCCAGAGGGCACGTCTGGGAGTCCATTTGGGATATTTCGCGCCTCTCCACAACATTCTGAAAACAGTACCTCGCAGATAATTGAATAAGTAAATCTGACTATTGAGTGAATTTGTTTCTATCAAGACAGAATAGCAACAAATTGGAAGCATTATTCCGTTCATTCTACCGCTATGTTTTCTTCAGTTCCTGTCTGTTATTCACGGTGACTATCATGCGTATTATTTTATTTAAATTATCTAGACACACCAAGTTTTTATTATATCTTTTAAAACCCGAAGACGCTTGAGTTCCATCTTAGACTTTTTCCAATTTCAGTTGCTACAGTATGTAACACCACGCTTGTCTACCACAAACTCCGAGTAACCATTGAAAAAGTACTAAGATGAAGTACGTTAATTAACCGAATTAAAACTTACTGGTACATTTAGGTTCTTCGTTAGACAAAGATCCATTCGCCTGACATGTACGAATTTCGCTGCCTCCAACAAGCTTATATTCCGGCAAGCAATAGTATCGCACTGACTCGTTCTCCCTCAGTCGTGGGCCAAGAATGGATCTATTGGTCCCAGGGACGTCATGAAGTTGACACGCTGAAGGCAGATGAGTGAAATCATTTGTTGCCATAATCATTTGTTGCGATAATAATTTTTTTAGTGATAATGACCACCTCAGTCGTCCAGTGATGTCTTCTAATTTATAAATGTTTATTCTCATTTTCATTTTGCAGTTCGAAATGATAACATTAACGGAAGAATGTGTACATGAAGGGTTAAAAGACATGATGTTTAATTACTTTGGACGGCTTACTTGGACAATTGCTTAAATTGCATTGTGCTAATTGCGTTGCATTCCCCTGAGTACAGTATTTTCCTCCGTGTTGAGGTTTTGGGTTGGTACATGTACGACTTCGCATCATGGTACCACCTCCACAAGTCCTTGTACATTGGGTCCAACCGGACCAGTCTGCCCAAACTCCGTCAACTGAAATGAAATAATGCAACATCATATGCTAGAGATACCATCAATTACGACCTTATTTTCTGGATTCTTCAAAACTGAAAAAAATAAAATACACTGAAAGTATATAAAACTTCATTGGCATTTTTAATTTGATAGTTAGAAGAACTGTGTTACTATACTTGGACAATCGTTCTCGTTGCACTTTATGGTTTGCGCTGCATTCCCTTGAACACAGTCTTTTCCTCCGTAGTTAGGTTTCGGGTTTGTACATGTACGGCTTCTCATCATAGTACCACCCCCACACGTCTTTGAACATAGGGTCCAACCGGCCCAGGCTGCCCAAGCCCCGTTAACTGAAATTGAAGGGCGGTATATGCCTAATATGTGTGTACCCAAATCTAAACATGCCATCACTTGCTGTCGTAATGGTGTTGTCGTGTTTTGGGTGAAATGAATGTTATACTTAAATAAAAGATTCACCATTGCCTCACATATGAATCATTGATGAAACGCCTCGGTCACTGACATTACACTGGCTTCAGTTTGTATGGTATAAATGTACTTGATTTGTATATTGATAAAAAACACATTTGGTTCTACTTACCTGGACATGGCTGTGTGTTGCAGGTTTGTATTTCATAAGATGGACCAGGACACGTTGCCCCAAGACCATTTGGTTTTGGGTTATCACAGGAACGACTTCGAGATTGACGTCCGCTCCCACATGAAAGAGAACAGGGGGTCCATGATCCCCATTCTCCCCATTCTCCGTTTTCTAAAATGCATGTTAAATGTGTATAAACAAGAAACATTGTAGCATTTGCATAATATTTCCGTTGACATAAAAAATTGGGATATCAAAACAAATCTTTCTCTCTTTCTGCATGATGTGTGTTTCGACAAGAAAATATATCATATAGGATATATTCCATGGTTTCGATTACTGCATCAAACCACGACAAGAAAGCTTTAAATAAAGTTGTTATCGATTACATAACAAGCTTTAGATCTCGATCTAACTAAGCCTGAAATGACTTTGATCGAAAACATTGGAATAAGATTAAACCAAATGTTTACCATTGGCCTGATTGGCTGCGCTCATGTCAAACGGTGATAGTATAGTGCCTATATATGCTAGCATGAAATTTTACAGCGATGCATAAATTGACGTCAACATTCTTAATATTTAAACAAGGTATGAAAGCAATTAGTTACAGTTATGACATGTACAATTAATGCAATTAGGGTTGTGTTTTTTCACTCATTTTTGTTAATGGGCCATATATATATATAGGCTATATATATATATATATATATATATATATATATATATATATATATATATTGCACCTTTGATTTTCAACTG